GTGGTCATCTTCAGGATGCACATCCTTCTTGAGTCTTCAGAAGCGGTTACCTCCTCGTGGTTAGACCCGGGCAATGGGTATTACTTTTCGTGTAATGTTTATCATATTTTATATGCTACACATTCCATGGCTAGTGAAATCTAGCTAAAGACCGCTTACCATAAACATTATAATTGTAATTAGTTTCTTTTAACTTTCCAATCAATATTGTACGATCCGAAATGATCGTACGGTAACTAGAATTCGAAATTCGCGCGCGTCCGATTCTATCGATTAGGATTCTAGATCGATACTCATTGCGAGTATCGAACAACTACCAGCGACTATCGAAGCCCTCCTATAGTTACCTCCACCTCTCGCATCACCACTTCTCACACCCCTAGCGCATACGCCCTGCTGGGCCAGTACAAAAGGACATTCTTCCTATTCTTTGGCTGGACACTTGTGAATATACATCTAAATCGAAACGAGAGAGCAAAGAGCTAAGTCGAAGGAGTTAAGTTGAGGTAGTTAAGCCGAGGGAGTTTAAGTCGTGACGAGAGGTGAGATCTTTCCATTATATTCATTTCAAGTAGGAGTGATAGAAGGGTAGAAGAATAAACAGAAATAAGCACGTAGGTATGCGACAAAAGTATAAAGTCCAAACGAACAAACAGTCGAAATAAAGAAAGAAGGTGCGTGGTCTGTTTTTTTTTTTACCAAACGTGTCATTTCTTTTCTATTTAAAAATATTTCTATTTTATTGAAAAATTAATAATTAATTCTTTATTTCGCAAATATTATAATTAACAATTACGAAATATATAGAATATAAAAATTGTATTGTCTACAATATTTTACAAAAAATGAAATGATTATCAGATACATCAGAGAAAAAAATTAAACATTTTAGAATATTTTTCTTATAAATATCCAAAGACATGTTTTTAAATTATAATGTTTGCGTATTTAGGAAATTTATACTAATTTTTCAATAGAATAGAAAAGTTTTTAAATAGAAGAAACTAGACACGTTACAAAAACAAATAAACCTTATTTACTTTACATTTCCAATAAGAATAAAATAATATAACTTATTTTACATATATAAAAAAAAAATATAGAAAAAAAATTTTTAAAAAAATTTTTAATATTATAAAATAAAACAACGAAAATAGAAATAGATTTTAAAATCGTTGTAATTCAAAACCCGATGAAACGAAAAAAATACGACCGCATTTGTTCCCTTCTTTAACAGCATCTACAGTTATTAGTTGCAACACAAAAAGAAATACTTGTGTATGCTAACCAATGATAAAGATATCTCACATTCACAGAAAGTGTGAAAAGTGTAAGAGAAAAAAAATTCATCTACCTGAATTTTAAAAAAATATATATTATATTTACTTGGATTAGGACGGCGTATCTTTCTGTCGACAAATATTCTACAATTTTCGTCTCTATCTATGGCTATCGCATTCAGCATTCCATCTTGATGGATAGAAAATATTAGTTTTTGTCAGCTACCTTTACCCCAAGGTCGGTTCCTCTTCATGAGAACAGAATTATAAAAAACAGGAAAGATCTGTTGAAATTCGATCTGTATTTATTATCTTTATTATCGATGCGAGAATATTCATGCCTATAGTTTTTTTTTTTACAAAACGGGTCATATCTTTTTTATTTAAAAATGTATTTTATTGAAAAATTAGTATTAAATTCTTTATTTCGCAAATATTATAATAAATAATTATGAAATACACAAAATATATAATAATTGTATTGTCTGAAATATTCAAAAAAAAAAAGAAGGATTACAAGATACGTCAGAGAAAAAGAATTAGAGAACACTGTAGAATACATTAGGAGCAGCTGACAAATTCCATTCAAAAGCAAGTAAATTACTGTCACATTTGAAGTCACATATAAAAAAATTATATTATTAATTGTAATGTTTGCGTATTTAAGAAACTTATACTAATGTTTCAATGAAATAAAAACATTTTTAAGATGTTGAACGTCCAGCATGAATCGGTGGAGCTTACCACGGAGCTGAAATTTGAGACTCGTAGTGTACACAGATCGATAAGCTGAGAGAGCGACACTATTCAATGCATTTTTTAGATTTTTCGTTGTTCAGATCTTTATTTAAACGAGAGTATTTAGAAAGATAAGTTTGTGGTTAAAGAATAAAGACGAGACACGTTATAAATAATAAAGAGTCTCGAGGTGTGGTAGGCTATAGAGTTGAAAAAACATTTCTAGAGAATATCTTTATTAGATTTTTCATTGCATTTTACCAGAACCTTCGTTCAGTCCAGCAGTATTTTCCATATGTTTCTCGTAACATTTTTATTTCATCATTCTTAAAATGTTTGTTAGACAGCGCAAAAATATGGATGAAAGCGATAAATTAAAAACTATCCTATTAAATAAAATTGTATATCTGAGTTTCATAAAAAGGATATTCTATATTTACTTATTTTACGACGAATTATATCTCCCTCGATAAACATTCTACAATTTTGGTTCTATCTATGACTATCGCGTTCAGCATTCCATTTTTATTGCTTAAATTTGGAAAAGTGTACTTTTTATCAACTATCCAAACAAGAGACCATAAGAGTACCCTTTACAATATATAGTAATAATATTAGATTAAATAAATCCCACAATTATCTTACTCTTGAAACTGTTTATTCGTCTCATTCTCTCGAAACTTAGATTTTTGAAGGTTTCACTTCTAACACGTGTGATCTGCGCACATGTTTATTTTTTTTAATAACTATATGTATATTTTTATTAATTCTGCACTGAACGATCAAGAATTTTTAAAATTGTATTTTCATTTTTCTTTGTTTGAATAGATTACAATGCACCTGCAAGGCACTTTTTTCAAATCATTTTTATACTCTGACAGATACCAGAAAATAATCGTAAATTGTTGAAATTTAATTTTTATTTTATTTTGTTTCAGGATTAATTTTTTAATTTATGTAAAAAGACTAGTTTTAAAACTACTTTTATATATTTACAATATTACTTCAATATTTGTGGCCAAATGGCAGCCGCGATCGAGAAAAAAAGCTCGTACTCGATGCATTCATTAAATTCTTGCTTCGTATTTCTTCGTTCTTTGTACATTAAAACTTTCGGGTGGGAGTCTTGGGGTGAGGCCAAGAGTAGGGATCTTTAAAGTGTGCTTTTAAAGGGATCTTTTTTTGTTTAATATATTTTTTTTAGTCATATTCCAGTGAACATTAACTTGTAGTTCCGTATTCGATAGCTTTTCCAAATCTAATCACCGTTTTTTCATAATTATATTTAACGGGAACAATCACATATAATATTTTTATACATTTTCTTTTGTTAGCAGAAAGATAATTTTTTTTGGGTCCGAGTCACATCACTAATAACACCTTCTTACATAATGCAATACTATCAAAGAAGTCGTATCTCATTTACTATCTTTCTGGAAATAATAGTCTTTTTTCCGGACAGGAGTCAACCATCTATTTTACTAACCATTCCTATGTTGCTTGAATTTAGTGATCTAGTAATCTAGTGAACTACGAACGCTACGTGACTCAGCTGTTGACCTCTTTATTTGATTTTATATCTAGTTTTAATAGTAAAAATTTAATACATAATGTTGCATTATTTTCATTATATTAAAAATAATTATAAACATTATTTTAGAATACGATTCTATTGAATTTAAAATAAATATGATAAAAATATTATAGTATAAATGTCTACTATATATATATATATATATATGGTATTTCTTACTATTTCGTAATATTGAATACTTCTATTTATGTTTAATTTCAATATATAAATAAAATATATATGTTTAATTTACGTGCTTTTTGTATACAAATAGAAACTAATCAGCAGTTTCTTATCAGCTTTTTAACTCTTGTCAACTGTTATTTTTCTTATCAACAAACATACAATATATAAAATTAAATTATTTTATCTAACGTGTGCATTGATTGCAATGACCTAAAAACTCATATTACGATAACATCTTCAATAGAAAATATATTTTTATCAATATTTTTTTCTCTAATAGTGTTTATCACTACTAACTACAAATTACTTACAATAAGTATTCATTTGATTGAAAAACTTACCCATTACTATTGTTTTACAGGTAATAGTTTTGTATATTGATTGTTATAAGTTTTTAATTTAGGAAATTGATTAAAATATTTATGCGACTAGTTTAAATATTAATTATATGTATTTGCAGTTTATTATATGGCGTGAAGTAGCTTATTTGAGTACCTTAGATAACTTTGGAATTGTACGTTAAATAAACATTATTTTTTCAGATAATATGAAAAGGAATATAATCTAATGTACATGATTTTTTTATGAAAAGAGGTGTCTAGATGATTTAAAATTAAATTTGGTTTGTTAACATTGAATCGTTTATCTTTTTTATTGTATTTAGAAAGAGATATAAGAGTATAGGATCGTTTCGAAAGAGTAATGTCACCTGTTTATTACGACGTTTATTGCGTAATGTTTATTTCGTAATGTTTCTTAATATTTAACTTATATTAATTGCGATGTTGTCTTAACGATTTTCGTTATACATTTCTTAAGAAATAAGACAATCAAAGTGGAATAAGAATTAAAAAAGTAAGTTTATGTTTAATATTTTAATCTTTATTAAGTGTCTTATTATAAATGTTAAAATTTAAATTTTATTCGAGATAAGCAAGTTAAATGAGTCACACTGTATTATTTTAAAATTTACTACATTATGTCCCTTTTAATACAATGTAACATCTGTACAAATAATGATTTGTGAAATATTAAATTTAAATGTTATTTAAAATAATTCATTTTGGTGAATTACTCACTAATCTTTCAAAATGGCTATTAACATTCTCTAGCAGCTAAAACGATACGGTAAGCGAAGTGATAACAGTGACATATATATATATATATATATATATATATATATATATATATATATATATATATATATAACCTTAGATATAGATGCTATACAAGTAGCATGAAGAATTATTACTTCGTCGTCTGTTGACCAATAATCAACATAATGTCTACTGTACATTCATCTTTATTGAAGACAGCGGTACATGCGCTACTAGTAACGATGTAAAAGCTGATTTCTTATATACATAATATATAAAATAATGGTAAATTATTTAAATTAATTATGTTTGCCTATAATTTTAGATTAATTTGGAAAGAGACTCAAGCTCTCACGTATACGGAATTCCCTGAAGGATTTCAATTTGGAATCGCTACGTCATCTTATCAAATTGAAGGAGCATGGAACACTAATGGTATTGTGAAATGATATACCTATATTTAATATATAAAAATTCGTGAGAAGGTTGATCCAAGGGCCTAGATAGTGCAATGATTAAGAGAAATTAAGTAGGAAAGCGGAATTTCCTGTATTGAATTCCAGTGTAAATGATTGAAAGACATTTATGGAAACTTATTGAGACCTTGATTAAAAACCTTTATTGAGAATACTAAACAGTGATATCAGAAGTGACTAATAGTATTATACAATTGCAAATTATGTAATGGTAAAAGGAAAATTGAGTAAATAAAAATCTAGTAAACAAGAACGACGATGGAAGCGACTTAAGTGGTTGCTTGAAGAACTGGCAAGATTATCTTGACAACCCGGCACTTTGGAAATGTTTACAGTTGTGTTTAAAGATGAAAATAATTCAAAATATAATCCGGGGAACTGACAAGATATTATTACTAGTAGTATTTTCGAGAAGTTGTCCTAAAAACGAAAGACACAAATTCAAACCTTTCAGATTATCTGAAGGCCTAACTTTTCTCGCGCGAATTCTACAAATAAAGACTGATACAAATTTATAAATTAATACGTAAATAACATTAGATAATTAAATTTTACAGGTAAAAGTAATAACATATGGGATGTATTTACTCATAACAATGAATGGTTAATAAAGGATCACAGTAACGGTGACGTTGCATGTGATTCTTATCACAAATATAAAGAAGACGTACAGTTAATCAGCAACATGGGTGTATGTATATAAGCAGTTCTTAAATTTAAGCTAAAGAATAAATCACAAATAAAAGAATGATTGTTAATTTTAGGTTAATTTTTATCGATTCTCACTTAGCTGGTCTCGTATCTTGCCGGACAGTTTTAAAAATGTTGTAAACAAAGATGGACTTAATTACTATAGAAATCTTATTGACGAACTACTGGCAAAGGGTATTAAGCCTCACGTTACTATATTTCATTGGGATCTACCGGAAGATTTAGAAAAATTAGGTGGTTGGACTAACGAGATAATCATTGATTATTTTGTTAACTATTCAAGAATTATTTTCCGAGAGTTTGGGCAGAAAGTTAAACTTTTCTTCACCATTAATGAACCAACGGTAATCTGCTCAGGTTACGGTTTATCTGAATTTGCTCCTGGTAAGTCATAATAATAATTATATTTAAATTCGAATTTAAAACGTAGTATATATTTCAAATTAACGACAGAATAGTATTTTTAATTAAATGGTGGTATCAGGAACTAATTTAACTGAGATCGGACCTTATTTGTGCATGCATAATATACTAAAAGCTCATGCCAAGGTATATCATATGTATGACAAAGAATTCAGACCTCAACAAAATGGAAAAATTTCCATCGCCTTATCAAGTCCTGGATATTATGCCAAATATAAAAATGATACAAAAGCTGAGGATGTAGGTTTTCAATATTTGTGTGGTTGGTCAGCTCATCCAATTTATTCGAAAACCGGTGATTATCCAGAAGTTATGAAAATACGTATAGGAGAGAATAGTAGGATTCAAGGATATTTGAAATCAAGATTGCCAGTATTCACACAGGAATGGATTAATTATATACGGTAGATATATATATGCATATATGCATATTTATGATTTATTTTTATTGATAAATATTGATAATAAATTATTCAATGCTACCAACAATAACACAAGCTTCGATATACTTCTTAATGTAGCGGAACTTCAGACTTATTTGCCTTAAATCACTATTCATCTTATTTCATCGAAAGTGTCCCGAAGGGACCGGACGATCTTTGGTACGAAGACAGCGGAATTAAATTAAGCTTCGATCCAAAATGGCCATCTACTAACTCATCATGGTTGAAGGTCAGCTCTATAAAAGATAATGTTTTAAATGTTAATTTGCAAAACTAACTAACAATCGTGAAAAGATATTTTTCGAGCAAATTCATCTAATTCGATTAACACAAAAATTTTTTACTTAAAAAAAATTTTTTTTTCCACGTTTTCTTTTCTTTTGCCTTACTCCCGACATGCATCGCTTGGAATTAAGTGTATCGGTTATTCGAAGCTTCTTCTTATGAATAATTTATATAATAAGTACATAATTCATTGGTGATGTTAAAGCTTATGGAAGAACGCTCTAAGCTTGATCATGATCGCTAGCTTATAATAAGCACGATTTTCATAAACTTACACTTACAATTAATCGATTCTTTGTTAACACTAGAAAGACCGAAACTTTGTATACAGGGTGATTCTTGTAACGGGGACGGGTAATAACTTTTTTTTAAGTAACAACAGAAAAAAATCATAAAGGAAAAAGTTATATGGTACAACAAATGTTAACTTTCTATGACCTTATTTTTTTTGAAAATCTATCGATGCAACCGCTAGATGCAGATGCACTTTTTTTTTAAATGGAACTCTAGACTTTTTTTAGACTATTCGATTCCTTTTTTTATTCTGCGTAAGAAAGTATAAAGTGAGGGTCATTGAAATATCAATAGTTTACGAGATATTTGAAGTTTTATATCAGTAATGTATTTTATTACAATAAATGTTTCTCCATTGCATTCTAAACAATTAGATGCGCACATTCTATTACGCCTTTTTACATTTTTCATTACACTTTTTAATTGATTACAATTGATATTGGAACAATACATTGTTATACGCTCCTTATATAACTTCAAATATCTCGTAAACTATTAACATTTCGATGACCTTCATTTTATACTTTTTAACGCAGAATAAAAAAAGGAATCGAATAGTGTAAAAAAAAATCTAGAGTTCCATTTAAAAAAAAAAGTGCAACTGCATCTAGCGGTGCATCGATGCATTTTCAAAAAAAGTAAGGTCATAGAAAGTTGACATTTGTTGTGCTATATAACTTTTTCCTTTATGATTTTTTTCTATTATTACATAAAAAAAAGTTATTACCCGTTGTCGTTCAAAGAATCACCCTGTATACCTATATATACCGGAAATGAAGGAGGGGGAAGATGACTAAAATTATTAATAAACACATTTATATGTTGTATAAAAAGTCAACATAATTCTAAAAAATATTATCATTAAATACATAATTTTTTTTAAATTTAAACTAGAAAGTAATCGATAAAACTTCCTTGGCCAATCTGGAGATAAGAGCTGTGAGTATATTAAATGACAAGAAAATCGATATCGAAAGGAAATTTTTGAAAATCAATAGAGTACTTTTTAATAAATATATTAGCTCTGATCGCAAACCTTATGATTTTTATGATTTTTTTTTCATTGATTTTACTACGCCTCAGTATTAATATTTATTTTTTGATGAAATTATCGAATATTTAACGAATTTTCTTTCTGATAAAATTGAAATATAAACGTAATCACGCAAATTTTGTACTTCGAGAGCACATTTACAGTCTCATTGATATTCAGTGTTAATTTATATCATAAAATTAAAAATTTTAATGAATATTGCAATAAAATTTTGTCGGATAAGAGACTATTAATTTTTTTCTAAAGTTAGTAGTAATTAATGTAAAATAAAAAACTGTGTAATTCAATTTGATGTATTATAGTATCTTGAATATGCAACATATACTAAGAGTCTAAAATTTTGTTTGTAGATAGTTCCTGAGGGATTTAGAAAGATTATTAACGTAATAAAAAATGAATATGACAATCCACCAATTCTTATTACGGAAAATGGTATTTCCGACGGCAATTTAATGGATAAAATAAGAATCGACTATATTTCTAAATATCTTAAATGTATGTTGCAAGCTATATATAAAGATGGTTGTAATGTCATTGGTTACACAGCTTGGAGTTTATTAGATAATTTTGAATGGCTGAATGGATACACGTAATATTTATTTATATGTTTATAATTAAAAATAAAAACAATGTATTCATTCAAATTATGTTTAAATACGTTTAATGACAATAATTATTTTTTTCCAGTGAAAAATTTGGTTTTGTACAAGTTGATTTCTCGTCTCCCAATAGAACAAGAATTCCCAAAATGTCATTGGAATGGTATAAAAACCTAATCAAAGAACGAAAAATAATTAATTATACACTGGATATGAATTAATTCGATGTCGTAATTGTTCTTTAAAATAAAATTTATCTATGATAATCCACAGAATTCAAAGCAAATCAATTTGACATGATTTATTTCTTTTATTAGGACCTTGAATAGGTTCTCGCTGTTTTTTTACAAAATAAAAACTTTATTTAAAATATAAGGAACAAAAACGTTTTATTGAAAGTATTGCCCATCACTAGAGACCACTTTCTCCCATCTTTCTGGCAGTATATGAATTCCGCGTTGGAAAAACGACATGTCTTTTGAGGCTATCCAAGAATCGACCCATTTTTTAGCTTCTTCGTAAGAATGAAAACGCTGGTCAGCTAAGCCATGTGCCATCGAACGGAATAGGTGAAAATCGGAAGGGGCTACGTCAGGTGAATACGGTGGGTGGGGTAGAACTCCCCTTCGAAGCGTTTCCAGGTAGGTTTTCACTGGTTTTGCAACATGAGGCCAGGCGTTGTCATATAACAAAATTACTTTGTCGTGTCTCTTCTCGTATAGCGGCCGTTTTTCTTTTAGGGCTTGACTCAAACGCATCAATTGAGGTCGATAGCGATCCCCCGTGATTGTCTCATTCGGTTTGAGCAGCTCATAATAAATTACACCCTGCTGATCCCACCAAATGCAGAGAAGAAGCTTCGAACAATGGATATTTGGTTTTGCGGACGATGTTGATGCATGGCCAGGCTTACYCCATRATTTTCTACGCTTTGGATTATCATAGTGTATCCATTTTTCATCGCTAGTCACGATACGGTGCAAAAATCCTTTTCTTTTCTGCCGTTGAAGCAGTAGTTCACACGTGACAAAACGTCGTACGATGTCTCTTGGCTTCAATTCATATGGCACCTAATGTCCTTGCTTCTGGATCATTCCTAACATTTTTAAACGTTTTGAAACAATTGACTCATCAACTTGTAATGTTTTTCCAAGTTCTGCTAGTGTCTGAGATCGGTCTTCATCGAGTATTTCCTCCAATTCTTTGTCTTGAAATTTTTTTGGTGCGCCAGAACGTTCTTTATCCTCAAGTTCAAAATCATTATTTTTGAAGCGTCGAAACCAGTCTCTGCATGTCGTATCCGACAGAGCATTATCACYATAAGTCTCAACAAGAATTCTATGTGATTCAGCTGCTGATTTCTTTTGAATAAAGTAGTGCAATAAAATTCCCCGCAAATACATTTTACTTGGCACAAAAGTAGACATTTTCAAAACTAATAAAAAATTACTTTGTTTGCACTAAAGTGAACTATCATACACTGAAATTTTAGGTTAGATACGGTACTTCCTGGCAAGTGCGTTACTATTCTAAATTTCAAGCACGGAGTACTGCTATTGCCATATTTGATGAAACAGCGAGATCTTATTCAAAGTCCTAATATCTATGCATCAGTATACACCTTTATGAATGATTGATTGATTGTTACAGATAAAATATGCTTTTAGAGAAAGATCGATTAGCGTTTAAATCAAAATTTCAGGTAACTAAAATTCCAATTAAAAGAATTGGACATTTAAAATTATATTTTATTTATTATTTAATACCTATTACAATGGATTTATAAGTAAACCTATATATATCGAACACAATTAAATAGATTTCGGCTAGTTTACATGAGCGTTCATTTGTCGATACTATTGTCTTCATCCAAGTACATTATACGATCGTTTGGAAGCGACAAAAGGAAGCGTAGACAGCAAACTTCGTTAGTCGACTCGGAAACGAAATTCCCGTCTTCGTTCTTCGATGAAAACAGGAAAGTGGAAGAGGTAGAGGATGAAACAAAAAAGATTTAATCTTCTTCCTCGTACTAGGAAGAAGTACGTTCAAATCAAGTCGAGACCGATCCTCCGATTAATGAAGGAAATGTTTAACAAATTGAACGATGACTCTTTCTAACTTTTCATCTTTTTTCTGTAATCTCTTCAAAGTTTTTTTCTAAATACTATCATTTAGCATAATAAATATCCAAGATACGATATAGAATTTAATGAAGAAATTCAATTGATTTTGATTTTTTGCTTTGCATGTATCCTATTATTTTATCATATAATCTTTCTATCAAATAAAAAAATAAAAGTAATAACTTTATTATTTGTTATTATTGCTAAATCAAATATCACTATTATATGTATGACAACTGAGTAGATTATTAAGAACCATTAACTACTGTTTCTTTACGAATTTAATATAAATTTGTATGTATATTTAAAACATTAAAAAATTATTCATTACTTTGTGTTATGACTGTAGAAATTGTTTAATTGCTTGTAAAGTAGCTTACTAATGGTAACCAGAATTACTTTATATATTCTTTTAAATCTAACAATTAAGTCTTTTTTATTTAAGTAAAAATAAAAATAAAATATCTTTTAGATTCATCAGTTAAGAATGAATATATACAATATGTGTAACGATAATTAATCGTTAATTAAAATAAATTTTTTAATGTAATAACTATGAAAATGATTAAATAAAGAAAAAGTTAAATGGCATGACGAATCAATAAAAGAAATGGTTAAGTTCGCGAGAAATAAAGGTAAAATGAATCTCAGTAACACGGAATAAGGAGTTAAACAAAAGCTTTCTACGGAAATACAAGAAAGAAAGAGGGTATATTTCGTTTATCTATTGTTTTCTGTTGCGGTTGTAGCTTACAGGTAAGAAAAAAGAAAAGGGAGAAAAGGGTTTAGAAAATAACAGATCGTGCTTCAGCGAGCAAAATCTCGCGTAATTATCTTGTGTAATGGTGTACGCGTATCCATATCACGTTCGTCGATGCCTCGGGCGACAGCTACAAAATCGCTTCACCGCTAAAAAACGCACAATATGAAAGTATGGTACTTATGGTTCCATCGATTTTATACGAAATATATTGCTTAAAATCTATAAATACTCAAATTTGTTTTATTTCCTAATCTCAATAATAAAAAAAAAAGGAAGTAGACTATTTTATTAATCTCTAGATGAACAAAAATTATTTTAAATAGACGTAGGGAAATTGAATATGAAAATTATTATATGAATTTTAATGAACGCATCGAATATGAGCAAGTGTCTCTTTATTCGTTCACATTTTTTTCCCGTCCATTTAAAAATGGATGCTTTTATCATCGCTTTAAAATTGAATTACCTTTCTACGATCTAATAATCACGTTATAGGCTATTCCATTTAACTATGGTTACCGAAAACGAATTGGATATCCGCAATTCTATACCTCTGTAAATCAACTGACCACATCATGTGTACCACATAAATGAAATCAACGTTGAATGTACAGTAATTATTTGTCATGTCTATTTATTTACTCAATCGTATTCAACCTAGCCGATTTCACATACTGATGTCTATTGGTGTGAGGTATAAGATCGATCGTATGAAAATAATCGTTAGAGGGAAATCTTTTCAAGAGACGTTCACAAAAAGTTGGACGTCGTATTAATCATTGTCAATCTGATAGAAATAATATCATGAACTCTTTCTCGAAGGAATAACTTTTCGTTTTAGATCAAATCGAATTAAAGTTGCTATTTGTCTACCGCAAAAACAAACAAGAAGATGAAAAAAGAAAATGAAGAAAGAAAAAAAGAGGAAAATAAAGAAGACACAATCATCTTTGCTTGCAGTAATTGTGAAACTTTTTCCATAACGACACGCGAACACGAACAACAGGCGTTTAAATTGCACTGAACGAAATCACTATAGGTATAGCTTTAGTTCTTTCCTCTTTATCACTTTATCTTTTTCTCTCTCTCTTTCTCTTTCTTTCTTTCTTTCTTAATTTCCTCTCTATTTTCTTCTTTCCAAACGTACTTTCACAGTACTTTCTGTCACCATTTTATTTGCGATCTTCCAGTTGATCTTCGCGACAAATAACTTTCGCACCATTATCGGCTTGTGACATTGTGAGCTCTTTAAAGGTTCTCATCTTTTTCGAGATGGATTTAAAGATGAGAAAAGAAAAAGAGGGAAAAAAAATTCTGTCTGGCGAAAAAACGATTTAATCCTTCTAGAAGGTGAATTTCAAGTGAAGGGAACCTTCGACCAGAAAGAAAAGAGAGTACCCCTTATATCTTCTCTATTCTCTCTTTAGTCTCGATGTTTTTCTATCTCGTTCTATCTCTCTCCCTCTCCCTCCCTCTCCCTCCCTCTTCCTCCCTCACCCTCCTTCACTCTTCTGTTCTGATAACCTCTCGGGGATGCTACGTCAAGAATAAAAAAGGATTTCTACCGATAATGGCACAGGAGCTCGTGGCGAAAAGATAAAGTAAACGGCATGGACATTGGAAATCTTTTGATACGCCTCTTCGTTTCCCCGTTGCTGTCACATCGTAAACTCTTCGATGCCAAAGTTACGACGATCTCCCTCGCGTCTTCCTACATCGTTTCTACTTTTACTTACATTTTTTCTTCTTTCTGTCTTTCTTTCTTTCTCTTTCTCCGTCTCCTTCTTCTTCTCCTTATTCTTATCCTTACCTTTCTTTAGAGAATTTTATCGAAGAGGTTAGATTGTTTTCGAAGCGTAATCCACGATGATAAATCCACGATGATAAATTGGAAAAATAAATTTTGCATGTACAAAAAGATTTCACCGTTTTTTCTTTCTTTATCTCTATATTTCTCCTATAATATACAAATTCTTTTCCGGCAAAGAAACGTTGCAAATAATTTTGCAGTCCAATTTGATGACGCAATTCTTTTATGTTATCGATTTGAATCATTTGCTTTGTTTTAATGGAAGTTTTAAATATAAGATAAGAAAATCTATTATTCTTTTTTTCTTCATGCTTATAATTTTTTTTTATATCATTCAATAGGTAGTTGATAATTGTATGCAATAGAGTATAATTGTAATGCAATCGTTAAATATACTAATAAAAGTAATGAATGTTCAATATTTTCAAATTTATCAACATTCTATTATACGTAATTCGTATGCAGTGAAATACTGATAGATTTAATTATTTATTCATTAGTAGTTCAAATAATTATTCTTATGGGTTATTTTTAACAATGATAATTTTCATGGTCATGACTAGTCAACTTTGTCGTGAAATATTCGTAATTTTATCATTTTATCATGAATACCATATGAGAATGGTAATAATTTTGTATAAATTTTCAATACTTCAAATATAATCGTTCTTTTCGCATAGTTGCAATGGCCTCGTTTTTCCCGATACGTCGTGTCTCATGAAATTTCTATGCGATCGATAAACCGACGTAACGTTATCAATGTTGGCGCTTGCGTATGATAAAAGAATTTTCATCAAATTCATTAAAATAAAAAGGACATGTAATCGAATAAATGGTATTGGGGGAAAAGGTGAAATCTTTTACGTATGCTAATTTATCTCTCGATATTATCTTATCTATTCATGTCTTTTTTTCTTTTGGTTGTCTTATCTAAGAGGTTCTAAAAATTCATAAATCTTATCTTAATTTTTCAATTATGTTTATTTAATTAATTCTCCTTTTTTTTATTCTTTTCTTTCGTTATTAATGTTACGTAATATTTTATAATAAATATGAATATTTTATAAATGACGTATAAATTAAGAAGAGAGATTATAAACAAAATAACTGATAATAAAGCAATCACATCAGTATCATATCTTTGGTACCAAGGTTCATCGACGATGCTAGAACGGAGATGAGGTGCTCCTTTATGACGAATAACATATTCTATCCACCAAATTACCTTTTCCATTGAATTATACGGTTTATCTTTAATAAGATTCTTCAGTTTCAACATATTTTCTTTATAACTAAAAGATACAAATTATTACGTTGGTTACTTTTATTCTTACTATAAGAAAAATTTCATATAAATTTGTTTCATCTTCAAAAGACTTGTTATAATTATGATTTTACCTTTTATTATTTAAGACGTCCATAATTGCTTCGTTTAAAGATTCTCTCGTCATTTTTAAAATATCGACGCTCCTACATGTCCCTAAACTTTCCATTTTCATAACTTGCATATCTTGATCGGCTATTACAGGTATTCCAACAAGTGGTACACCAAAGTGTATAGCTTCTTCYGTACTTTGAAGTCCACCTTGATAAACGAACAGCTTCAAATTGGGATGTGCTGCATTTTTATTTTTTAATGCATGAAATAGAAACATGATAATTATTAGCTATAAAATATACATGCCTATTATGAGTGAAAATATTGAAGAAACATATAAATTCTAAGTTATATTACCTAGAATTGTTTGTTGTGGAAACCATTTTGCGACATATATATTTTCAGATATTTTTAAGATGTTTCCATTAAATTTCCATACAACCTTAATCGGTAAATTTGAGAAAACATTGAAAAATATATCTAATAATTTTTTCGGAAACATTGACGAATGTACGGTTGTTCCAAGGCTGACGTAAATGAAGCCATTCGATGCGTTATCCATGAATTCTTTTAATCCCTACACAAATATTTGATTTCACTTTGATTTCAAAATGAATACGATAAAAGAGAAATTTTCTATGCGAAAGTAGAGAGAAAAAAATAATAAATGCATCATATTAAAAATTACCTTTGGTAAGGGTTTATTTGTAATATTAATTGGTATATGTAAACCACTAAAATTTATAATATTAGCAACGTTGGGTCTGGTAAATGAAATTTCTTCTAGCTGATTCGTTAATAGAATACTTATGTTCTTTTCTAGTTCTCTAATGGAAGGTATATTACCTAAATATTTTTCTGCAATTCTTTGTTGCGGTTTATACATTTTATTATTACAAACTACATGTATATGCCACCATGTTAAAACGAAATTGTGTACTCTTTTCCAGAAGGATAAATTCAAACCAATACCTATATTTAAATCATAGGATGAAGGATGAGACGGTATCACTGGATTACCAATATTAAAATGACTGGATTGTGTAAGCCCTGATGAAATAACACCTATAAATATATTAAACAATTATCAGCATTTACTAAACACAAAATAAAATAAAGACTCTAGATAAAATTAGTTTCAAATTCTTTTTAATCCTTATTACCAGTTATGAGATAAAAAATAATAACGAATTTAAAGTTAGTGGTAGAAACATAACAGGAATTAGTTTACAAGCCTTGCAAAAATGCAATCTTACTCTGTCTTTATTTCAAAACAAAAAGTTACAAGAAAATTTTTTTGACTAAATGAATAACTTTCTTATTTATCAAATTATGTAACATTAAATTGGCATTTAACTGTCGAAAATTTTCATACTTTTATAGGTCATACATTTTCATGGTGGGTCAAAAAAATCAAAAATAATTGATTTTTTTGACCCACCCTAGTGCTCATATTGTGAATCATTGATATCTTAAAAATATTGATTATTGAAATTTATATATATAATCAAGCATGGATACATAATAAAATAATATAATAACATAATATAATAACTTATTTGTTATTTCTTTGCTTTTTTGTTGATTAATAAGTTTGTTAATTAATATTTAATCGTTTTTACCTAATTTACTTTTGATCTAAAGATTTTCGTATGCTTACCTATCAAAGGAGCTTTGAATATGTGTCCAAAAGCTAAAAAAGCTGGCATTGCGATAACTTCGACTATAACAAGATCAAACTTTTCGTTACTATCAGGTGCGTAGATTTTTTTAAAATCAGGAATTTCGAAAATAAGTAGGACAATTTTTTCTGCAATTTCAAATAAATGACCGATAATTTCCAACCATGAGTATTCATGTCTCGTTTTTAAAAAATTTAGCGTTTTTATAGTATCATAACAACGACTAGCGTCGATCTGTGTAAAATTTTTTAAATTTGTATCGGGTAATATATCTGTGGTTACTAAAGTAATATGGTGACCTCTTAAATTTAAATTTTTAAGGATAGATTGATGGACTAATTGATGACTGTAAGAAGGGGTCGGTATAATAGCCAAAATTCTTGCACTGCTGGTAAATCCTATGTTATGAATCAAAAGAAATGTCACTGTTGTAACGATTAATGATGTCATGATGAATTTTCTTTTTTCTTTTTTCGACTCTTAAAGCAATACACGACAATGCACTCAGAAAAGAATAAGGGAAAAAACTAACTATCCGGATGAAATAGTACAAGATAAACCCACAGATAAGAATAAAGTTTCTCTAATTGCGTTACGTGCTATTCATTACACTTATTTACAATAAGAAACGCGTTCTTATTTCATTCCGTTTTTGCTTGTTCTATATATATATGCATATGTATGCATTATGTAATTATATTGTAAATGAGTGTAAGACTGCTTAATTACTAAAAGGAAGATATGCTAGCTCCGCCCATCCCCATTTTTAATGCTTTCTATTCCCAGAATAGAATTTTTTAAATAACAAAGTCGTATAATTTCAAATTTATGAGATTGGAATGTGCACGTCAATGTTATATCACTATATTATAATCTACTTAAACGTGTTTTGTCCTATTTCTATGTTATACATTGGACTAATAAATTTGATCTTTTCTACCTGTAAGGAAAATAATTTTAGTATAAAATTACATCAAACAAGAGTAGGACAGCAGCCGCCATTCCTACCAATCAGGCTCGTATTTCCAGTAGATTTATTTTCGACATGGCTGCTCTGCTTTGCAGCGAGAACGCTCCTAGAAGGAATGTAGATTTAATTGGTTAAAACATTACTATCCTATTTTTATTTGGTTAAACTTTAGATCACGCGACATAAAGAATGATTTCTACTAATTTAATATCTAATAAAGGAGGAAAATGTAATACTTTAAAATTATCACTGAAATGGGTAGAAACATAAAACAATAACGTTTTTTAAATGCTCTTATCAAAGATTGACCTTAACTCGTACACGTGTCTATCGTGAATATGGAGATCACGTAGTTATGTTGAAATATATAGGTATCTTTAAAATGTCCAAGATAAGAACTAACAAATATTTCCTCTAACAACTTGTTCCAAAAAAATTTTTTAGAAGACCACAATATATTAGACATACAAATAATTTAAAACCATTAATGCTAATTGCTTGAGACAACAATTACTATGATTGAACCAAGAAATTGATAGAAAACATCCGTTTACTGGCACTACATTGTATCTTGTAATATTGTTTCATGACAACGATAAGCTTTATGTTCCTAAATTAATAAAGGAACGTTATTGGGCCTTTGTTGAGAAACTGCAAAGACCCAAAACGTTTGAACAACATTTAATAAGTAATATTTTCTAGTAATGTATTTGTTTTGAGTTTTGTATGTAATGTTAATAAGATACATATGAGTTTTACGCACTAGGTAATAAGTGACAGTTATCACATTTCCGGATTATTATATTATAATTACAAAGTACATTAACTATTCAACATTTTTTTTCATCCTTTCATTGAAATTTTCATTATATCTTAGATATTCAAATAGTCATACTTATTATAGACAAATAATATACGTAAATTTTTTTTTCAAATTCACGGTCTATTTGCACGAAAACACGGCAGGTGGTCCAAAGTAAAATTGTTTTTCGGGTTAAAGAGTGAAATTCGTTTAAACGGTAATAGTGGGTGGTTCTCTCGAATCGAGAACGTGTTCAACGAAGCGGACAAAACGAAGAAACTCTGGCGAAATGGAAATAGAAGAAATGCTATCATGTTTCCCTATTTTTATATCCTTCTTTTTGTTTTTCAATTTAATTTTTGTCTATCAACGTTAAAAGATCGCGTTATCTACTTGGTTTAAATTTCAAATAAATAGAGTAAAAATGTTAATTTTTCTACTTGCATGAAAAACGAATAGCTTAAATTTTATCTACATTGCGAAAATAATTTCTTTATATATATATTATACAAAAATTACGTTCATTATTATTATCATGTATTATTAATATGTTGAAATTATTACCAGATTTTCATCGTCACAAAATTCATTAGTAGACATAGCTGTTAGATAAATAATCCTTAATTGAATATTTAAAGTAAAGTTTGTCGATGCCGAGTTATTTAAAGATTTTCATATAGATGATAAGAGAGATGTTGTAAAAAGAGGTGGAAGATATAGTAGATTTCTTCAAAGAAATAGGAAGAGCGAGGAAAAGGAACGACAGTGAAGCGAAGAATCGGAAAATTTATCGATGCACGTGCACTAAAAGAGAATTCTATGAAAGCAAATATTTGCTGGTGAATTTGCACCCACGCACTCGCGTGCGTTTCTGGGTCGGTAAGATTGGCAAACAGTTGTTCCGATTTCTCGGGAAGAGCCAAATACAAGGACCCCTTCCGGTTTTGGATATTTCTACGCTCGGTTGTATATAACATGCGAGTACGAGAGCAGAAAGAAAAGTATGTAGAAGAAAAAGAAAGATATTGAGAAAGAAAGAAAAGTTTTTTACGATATATGTAGCTTAAAGTCTTTGGTACTTTGCCAAAGTGCTATCGATCTTTCCGTTTTCATATCACCGAAGAAATCATGGAGAAACGCTTATACGTGAAAAATCTGAAAGGTACATCTAGGGAAGGTCACGTATAAGAGCGTACATGCGTGGGAGTGAAAGGAAACGGAAGCAACCTAAACAAAAAAAAAAGAAAGAAAGAAAGGAAGGAAGGAAAGAAGGAAACGGCATCGTGCGTGCGCAAATCTTAACGACGAGGAAACATTGAATCGATCGTGCTCGCCCAATGGCACTTCCGCTGCGATTTGCTCACTCAAACGAGACATCTTTGAAATCTTGCATTCTCTTCCTTTTGTCCTTCTCCCACTCTTCTTCCTTCTTCACGATACCTTACAAACAGTTTTCACATCGCGGTAAATTTTCTGGCATGGATTTTCCTTTTGTTTCCCAAGAGATAAACGAAGATATAGCGATAAATTTCTAAGAAGTATCTAAGCATTGAAAGCGTGAGTAATTCACTATCTAATCTTAACTGATATTTTGTGCATAGCAGAGTTATTCGAATATAATTAATGTCATTATTAGGATTAATTAAAACAGAAAATAATGACAGATAACGCACAAAACTTTTAGTTATTAACCATAATGTGTATAATATGATTCCGATAAAGCATACGTTAAAGAAATTAATATGAATCGAATGAATCAATGAGCAGGATAGAATAAACTGTTGTAATTAATTATATCTTATTATATACTTACCGTATTTTAGTGTAACCATCGAATTTTTGTCCTTTCCTCATATTTTTTTCTTCTTAGAATTAAATGAAATTAAGTGTTACTTGCCTAATACTTCTTTAAATCATAGACTTTATCAGGAGACAGAAATTACGATTTCTTAACAACTTCGACGTTATCGAAGTGTCGTAATTTCGTTGATAAGAGGACCTAAGTTTGATGATAACAGTTGACACAGTTTACAGCCGAAAGAGATTGGCCTTACTATACTTTATCTTTTTCTCATTCATTCTTTTTCTCATCCCAATACAGCATCTAAGAACATACATATAGTATATAAATGTAATAGTAACAAAATCACATTAATCTTTTGTCATGTAAATTATAGCCGACGAAACTACCAACATACCCAAGAAAGAACGTCGAACAAATGAGAAAAGAAAATCAATCTGAATCCTAACAACGAACTACTCAACCCTTAGTCTTGAGTATAAACCCTTTTCTTCTGCACCCGGAACTAACAGAAAGTATTTATGACTACCATTCATTCGTCTAACATCGCGAGGATGCTATCTGTAAATTGCTTTAAACGTGTAATGGCTCGCTCCATTTTCATGGATTTAACATTTCCCCTTTTCTCTTTCTCCTTCTCTCTCCGTTTACCTCTTTTGCCTTCGCTTTCTCAGCTACTCCCTTGAAAATAAATTCGTGAATAGTTTGCCATAAAGAAAAAGACGAAATTTTGTTCGGCGATGGCACTGCACGTTGCGTGACTCTTCGCAACGACAACGACTACGACGACGACGACGACGAAGAACTCAAATAGAAAGGAGAGAGAGAGAGAGGATAAACGAAAGAGTTTTTCGTTTCCCTTCGTCGAACGAGAATACGAAAGAGAATTCAAAGTTAATTTGATGGAGAATACGTCGTCATACCTGATGCTTCCATCGAAACGGATCTGCTTCTCACGTTACGTTTCTTCCGCAATCTACGAAGGAAGTATATGCAAGAGTTGGAAGGTGAATGAGAAGGAAAAGAGAAAGAAAGAAAGAAAGAGAGAGAGAAATACATGTCGTATTAGGAGAGTAGAATTCCAAGCATCTCCATGGTAATGGCGGAACTCGATTATCCGTCGTAGTCCGTGACATACGGAAGTAAATCAAGACAGAAAGAGAGACGTAGATTAATGTAACCATTTAAAGTCCGTATGCGGAATCAAGCATAAGAGCGAGTACAATTCTTATTGTTAGTTCTACGCTCCGTAACTTTCTAAATCTTGTCACTTCTCATTCTCTCCCTATTACTTTTCGTTTTCTCTCATGTTCCATTTAAATTGCAAGAATTTTTGTATTAAAGAAATTCAAATAAATTACTGACAAAATAATTTACCGAATTACACCGACGAATAATTGTAAGAAAGAAAATATATATTTATTATTTTTTAATAATACTTATCTATTTTATAAATTATCTAGAATTCGAAATTTTGTGTGTTATTCAATTTCAATAATAGTTATTTGATAGAAGATCATATGGCTACCAACCATAACACGTGATATTCGTTTTAGACATTCAAGAAATTTAAAACGGTATGCTTCTAGATGAGTATTACTAAGAATCTCCATAATAAGAATGAAAATGCAATGATGTTAAGGTAACTAAGTAGGTAAATCCAAATCACGATGCATCATAGTTTCGTTTATATGATTGACTATTTGCATGTCTGAAAACGTATCCACTACTACGCATAAATCATGAACGCGATAATGACAAGAATGACTTTCATAAAGATCTTTACTCACTATTACCTCATCCCTTTATTAAATAGATCTTTTATGTAATTAATAATTATTTAAAATTGCACAATCATTCGATGCAATTACAAAAGAATTTTATTAGCTGTAGAATTTTGTAAATAATTCTAAATTCTTCTTATCTTACCTCATTGGTTGTAAAATAATTTAAATCTCATTATTATTAATTTGTTCAAATGAACACTTTTACAGATACTTCCTACTTTATTAAATTCAAGATATATCAAATGTGAAGAGAGTTGACATTAAAGTAAATCTGTCGGGAAATGTGG